AGGCTATTTTTGTTGTAGTGTATAATTGATACAATAATGTCTCAAAAGCTTGAGGTGACAGTTGAAATACAATCTTTAGCTGATAAATTCTATGACTTCTTTAAAAACCACATGAGTGATCTTGTTAACGTCTTTCCTGCAACTTTCAAAAGTGTTCAGCTAATCGAAGGAGAGGAAGGTTCTGTTGGTTCTGTCAAACTTTGGAATTATGTTCTCGGTAAGAATATAATAATTTTTTATTTTTTTTTTGTGTGAAAATCACAGCAATAATTTCACCATATAATTCCGTTACAAGCTGAATATACATATGACAGGAGGGATTTCAATGACAGCGAAGGTGAAGGTTGAAGCAATAAATGATGTAGAACGATCAATAACATTCGCAGTTGTGGAAGGAGATCTTTTGCAACTCTATGTAAGTTACAATACCACACTTACTGCAAGTGACGGCTCTGTCAAATGGTCTATCGAGTATGAGAAAGCTCTCGAGATAGCACCCATTCCAGATCTCTATGTTACTTTATCTGTTGCAGTGTCTAAAGCGGTGGACCTTTACCTTCTCACTCATTAGTAATCGGGCTACTTGACACATATTTTACACTAAGATGGTCATAAATAATAATTATGGTGCATTATATATATATATATATATATATATATGAGTATCGATCTGTTTGTAATGTGTCAACTTGTATCATGTATTTTGGGAAATAAATTAGAAAATAAAAGATTTAGTATATTCAAAATATTTCAATTTTGGGAACCATCTGTTTGAATAATATAAGTCATTTCATTTGAAAGACCATAGGACAAATCCTGTCAAGCAAGTGAAAGTTTAAAATTTTAAATGTTAATATCTAAAGGTTGAGAATGCTTTTGCATAAAAAACACAGAGATTGGCGACCTTCACTGCAATTTTCCCAATATTTTACCTGCCCTGCCCCTGACGGATTCTTTGGCTTTGAAAATTCAAATATTGATTTTCTTAGTATTGTAAAACAAATAAAATATTAGAATTGTTTTGATACCAATTATTGTGAAACAAACCATCGAATTGAGATGTTGAAATTATATGGCAAATATTAATGAAGTATATCATCAAGTAAAAGAATAATAAAGACAAGAATATGACTAAAAGAATTAAGAGATTTTATTGACTCAAGAATAATGGAGAAGAGAGAAAATTTACAATAGATCCTATAATTCTACCAATTTATTTTCTCACACCATAAAATTGTATAGAGGAACCTACTATTTATAGGGAACATGTAGGAGATATCCAAACCCTCCTAGTAGAGTTGTTGATGAAGTAGAATACCAAAAAATTGAGTTTAAAACAAATTACTACTCCCAATGGGCTTCTAAAATAAAACTTTAACTTGACATAGGACTCAAATAGTATTCTAAACTGAATTCTTCTTGATGTGCACTTCAATTAGAATTCTTTACTTACTTCAACAAGGAATTCGGGTCACACTCAAATTCTAACACTTAGCTAGGACATATTCAGATATTGTAAAATTATTATTTTCATGCCTAAAATTATTTATTTACTTCTTGCTCGATCA